AATACTAGACACGAGATTTTTTTTTTCTAAGAGTAAATACGAGTAGTCAAGGCTTGATTTGGAGGGTGAATGACGCATAGCAAGATGTATCTTACTTGTGTGGTTTTCTTTTAATTGGCTATTTCCAAGATGAATTGGCCTCTTCCCTGAATTTATTGTGCAGTGACATTTCTGTTACTTTTCAGTATTATCGTTGTCAGCTAAGCACTTAAGCATTTTTCTCTTTAAGCACTTTACCTACAGATCAGTTATGCTGTCACCAGACAGGTCGTGTTCCTTGCTTTTGTACTTGTTGCCCTACAGACTTTCTGTAATGAGAGTGATTGAACAGAGGTGGCATACCACGGTTTTCTAGTTCTTCTTTTGAAATAAATAAGCTTTCATTTTTACAGATGCAATATAAGTGCATTACAGAAAAACAGAAAAGCAAAAATGAGAAAATAAAACATGATACTGCCACCAAAAAATATCGCTAACAACTTAATGCATATCCCTCCATATCTTTATGAATATATATTTATATCTTTTAACCAAAATAAGATCATACGCCACACAATGTTCTGTAACCTGTTTTCTTCCATAAACAATTTCCATTTTCTCATTCCAGAACATTTTTACCATATTCAAATTTACCCCACTTGTCCCCAAATTTGTAGTTGGTTTGTCCAAACTAGTATCTATTCTATGACCTTCCACTATAACTGATCATGTCCCTTTAAGTCCTTTTAAGTCTATCTAGCACAGTCCCTTTTTTTAATGACATTGACTCGTTAAAGAGACTGGGGCAGTTGTCCTGCAGAATCCCATATTGCTAACGTGTCTACTTTCTTAAGGTGTTATTTAGCTTGTCCTTTTATATCCTGAACCACCTGTGATCGAGAAGTTATATCTAGAGGCCTCATGGATTTGAAAAAAAATTTTTTTTTGCTAGAATATATCCTAGATGAGACACATGCTTTAAATTGTATCACATCAGAAAACACATCATATCTAGTTGACCCTACCATTCAATGCTAAGATAAATCTACTAACAGTCTAATCCCCTCAATTACGTTTTCACCTTTGTGACTAGGAAGTTATCACCATGGTGTTCCTTTGGCATCTAATGAATTACCCAGGGGTTTTAACATCTGGTGATAATACTTGCCTAAATCAGTAAATGCTCAGGTTTGTGATTTTTTTTCCAATTTTCATATTCCTTCTGCATTTATTAGTTGGTGTTCCTATGTAAACTATAGCTTTCCTTCCTCGACTTGAGCTATTTAGTCATCCTTAAATACAGTTCTTACTAGAAAGGCAAGTTTATTTTTCCCTTTTACTATTAACTTCAAAAAAGTTGGTTTAACCCTGACCGGTTTGGCTCAATGGATAGAGCATCGGCCTGTGGACTGAAAGGTCCCAGGTTCGATTCGCGGGTGTGCAGGAGGCAGCTGATCAATGTTTCTCTCATTGATGTTTCTAACTCTCTATCCCTCTCCCTTCCTCTCAAAAAAATCAATAAAATATTTTTTTAAGTTGGTTTAATAAATAGAAGGTGACAAGTTAGGTTCATTATAAATATAGACTCGTGAATTCTTAATGTGTTTCAGTCTGTTATAGTTATTCTTTTGGTGCTAAAATGATCACAATTGTGACCAGTAGGAGCCCCTGGAAATGTTGTTTCTAATAGTGAAGTAGTCTTAAAGACCATGTATTTAACAAAACTAATGCCTTCGTATAACTTAATATTTTCCTTAGAAGTCCAGAAGAGTTTTCCGTTAATTCTTCATCAAACTCAGTCATAAGCCTATGAATGAGCAAAATGCTTATTTCAAGCACTCTTTAAAATTGTTCCAAAGGAGTGGGGGAGACTATTAAGTTATTGTTATAGTCGTAACAAATCACTCTAATTCAAAGCACAAGTATTAGCTAACCTGCCTAAAGCCTCCTATGCTAAGCCTCCTATGCTAAGATTTCCTGCTAATAGTCAGTTTGCCTTCTTTTAAAAAGTTTTCTTATTGACTCCTTGTCTTAGTTTTCATGAAGAAAACACGCAGGAGAAAAGTGGTCAGATGCCAGGAAAGAACTGTGTGAGCATGGGTCTACTCAAAAACAAACACTATGGTTTGTTTGCATTAACTCCCATGAGGCTTCTCAGTAACTTTACTAATTTAATTCAAAGTAGACTCCTCCCTTTTAATCAACTATTTCCCTGCATCTAAAGTGAAATTAGATTTACATGCAGTTATTTCCTTGGCTATCATCACACGCAAGATCCGATACATCTGCATTCTGATACAGACTGCCTTCTGAAAAAGCATGTAGCTGTAGAACCTCACCTTATACTAGAAACTTTTATAAAAGGGCCTGCATCATTTCAACCATTAAAGTAGAACCTAAGGATTGTAGGCAATATTATGAAATAGTTCATTGCATATTCCTTAGCACCAGCCTTCAACAAATGCTTTGCACATAATAGTGACTCAAGCCTTAGTTGTTGATAGGTTGAAAGTGTACAAAAAAAAATCTTTGTATCTTACAAACATATATTTTTTCTGTCCTTTAATGTTTAACCTATTTTAAATAGAATTCTACCATGTACATAAAAAGCACTTGTCTTACTGATGGGAAATTTTTTCAGTATGCCTCTGAGAATCTAAGAATGCATTTCAAAATGTATTTTATCTTTATGTAAATATTTTGGAATGGTTCACTTAGAATTATTTCATATAGTGGAAAATTTCTTGACCCTTTTTTACTTAGTCACGTTTTGTCTCTACCTTCTTTCTGGATTTTAATAGCTGCTAGTGTATGCCTGTTTTTCAGCCCTGGTTCAAATTCAGATTCTTACTGCCCTGTCAAAATGGGCATAATGGACATCGATAAATACAGGACTAGCCTTTCTTACGGTAGTAGGGGAAAACCGTTTTCAGGAAGGTCCCATATAGAGAAATGCTTTGTCTTTCTCAAATCCTGCATAATATGACAGTGGTTGATCTCTACCTCATGGATGGATGGAATGTTTGAGAACAATGTGAACCGGGCCTCGGGAAGCTAGCTCATGTCATAGACACTGTGTACTCATATGGCAGCTGATGGTGGGATCCCAATTGCCAATCTCATCTGCAGTGGGATTCGGAGAAACAGTGAAGGATATGAACCCTCTGCAAGCCCTGGAGTAGCTCCGTGGTAGTTTTCAGGTAACATCTCAATATCCACTCCGTGTGGTTTGATCCTGTACCCTTACCTGTTTCACAGAGAAAGGAGGTGCTTGCCTCCAAAGGTACCTTTTGAGAAAATGAGTCTGCCCTCCTGTGTGCCTGGAGGGCCAGCAAACACAGATAATTTGCCCTGGAGTGAGTAGGTGTTTTTTTTGTTTTGTTTTAAGGGGTGGGGGTGGGGGAGGGGGGGTGTGCCCTTGTGTGGGAATGGTATGTGGGAAGGCTTTATCTCCTATGTCTGCCCCTTTAAAGATAGTAAGTCCATTTAAATTCTAAGATCCAGTAAACTTACCTGGTGTGAGCCTGTATGTTTTAGTGAGTGCAAAAGTGCTGTTGGTCCTTTTTAGTGTACCTTTCAGGAATGCGTTTAGGATTCAGTATGTTTAGATTCTTGATAATATGGTTTGAGTGCTGTTAAAAGTTGATATGAGAACTGATAGAAGTATTATCTAATTCTCCAAACATAACCAAAATGCATGCAATGGTTTGAAGCCCCTCATATCCCAACAAAATGTTCAAAAGCTAGCTGCCTGCTTACTGACTTGGATGTGACCAAGTTTGAGCATCTCACAAATCCATCTTGCCTTTGAAAAGCTTACCAACTTTTTCATTATACTGGTATACAGCATTTACTTTATGTAACAGATGAACCTGACCTTTGTGGAAATTATATTTTTATAAATCTGATCACATTTTTAAGTATTACTCCAGTATTACTTTTCTAGTCATCAACCCTTTGTATTCTGATTTATCTATCAGCACCCTGGCATGTATAAACATCTCTCTACATAGATATACACATGTACATGTGCATTTTAGGTGAAGGGAATACTGGTGAATGTAAATTTTATGTTTTTAAATATGGTATAAGCATGCTAATCTAGAAAATGTTGATTCTATCTGCATATACATGCCTGGGTAGAAACACCCATGTTTTTCAAATAATTTATTGTATATTTGATGCGTGGCCAGTTAGATTTTTGTCCTGAAACTGAGATATCAAGATTGAGCTTATAACATGTTGGGCCTGAGTGAGGGCAACATATCCAATTTGAGTTGTCTCAAATTGATACATGTGATGTATGTGGCTATATGAAAAAGTGGTAAGACTTCAAAGAGCATATTCTAAATGCTTACATTTATCAAAATGTTAGAGCAAACCATTTCTAGGTTCTGCTTATATTTTATACCTTATGAAAGACTAGGGCAGGCTTAGGGGGAAAAAATTTCTGATAAATTTCACAAAAATGAAAAATAAAAAAAGGATGTGGTTGGATTTTATGAATAAAGGGCTTTAATTTTTCTGTTTGAAAACTTTCCATGTTTTAAATATTTCAATGTAATACAGCATTTTCTATGTTGTCAACTTTTGTGAATTAAACTGTATCCACCTCTATTTTGCATTACTTATGAATACTGAACTGCAATAAAAACATTCTTTATTGTGCTTGAGTCTCAGAATTTGGGGGAAGGAGGGAATTGTGGAAGGGGTTTGGTGTTGTTTGCACAAGAAATTTTAAAGAAGTCTGTTAAAATTTCAATGCAACTTATATTTAATACCAAAATTTAAACCATTAATTTATAAAATGAAAAAAGTACTTATCTGTACAAAGCCAATTCTGGATTTTCTAAATTAGATTATGTGTATATACTTTTTTGATTTCACTGTAAATCAATTCTTCTTGATTAATTTGAAATTAAGTCAAATTAAAATCAACAATTAAAATCAATTCTTAATTTGAAATCAAGTCAAATAGCAAAGCAGAACATATTACATAAGATGCTTCTTCCACTCTAAAAAACATTTGACCAAAGCTTTATTATGCAACGCAGTAGGGAGAAATCATGGAAATGCATGTGGTCATGTGCCCAGATGAGCTATTCTGATGAGGGCACAATAGCACGCTGGTTAGGAGCACAGAGGATAGAGCTGATAAACTTGGACTTTAATCCCAGCTCTGCAACAAGTCAATTTGGTAGGCAAGTTTTTGCATTCATTAGATCAAGATCCATTAGATCTACCTCACTGGGCAGATGAGGGTATAAGGACATATGTACAGCACCCAGCCAATATATGCCTAAGACATACATGCTCTAAGCAAGCACTTTAGGCTATGAAACCCTTAAATGGTAGTGGATCAAAAAATAACGCACACTGTAATAATCTTTTGTGCCTAATGATACTAAATATCACCTTTTATTATACTACAGAGAAAAAGTATCTGAAAAAAACATTTTAAAACCATTTATTTTTTGTGTGAAATGGTTATTAACAAGTCTATAAGCTTAGGATTCCAATTAAAAGAAGTGTTTTCATGAAAGCTCAGGGCTCAGTTGTATGTCATGTAGCGGGGAGTAGCACTGAATTTGGCATAGGACTTAATGACCTTATTTACAGCTTCCAAGAAATCCTTCTCAGTAGCTATTTTTCGCCGGGCTCTGATGGCAAACATACCAGCTTCTGTGCAGACACTTCTAATCTCAGCACCTGTCAAACAAAAAGAAAATAACAGGCTTCATTAAAGCAGCCTGGACAGACAGACCAGCAAATATAAACAAGACCTTTCAACCTACCAGTGCTATTCGGACACAGTCGTGCTAACAATTCAAATCTGATATCTCTTTCAACACTCATTGAACGCGCATGGATTTTAAAAATGTGAGTCCGGCCCTAAAAACAGGGGAATTGAAAAATATTACAATGGAAAACATCACAGGAAGAAAAATGTCAAAAATCGCTTTTCTAGGAAATGGTTTTCTGACCTCTAGATCAGGTAAGCTAAATTCAATCTTCCTGTCCAGTCTCCCTGGCCTCATCAGTGCTGGATCCAAAGTGTCAGGTCTGTTAGTGGCCATCAGTACTTTAATGTTGCCGCGAGGATCGAAACCATCCAGCTGGTTGATCAATTCCAACATCGTTCTCTGTACTTCATTGTCACCTCCAGCACCATCATCAAAACGAGCCCCTAAGACAAAAGGAAACTTATCTGGTCACAGGAGCACTAGCATAACCTGAAAGTACTGTTACTCTCAGCTCAAATCATGCCCTCCAGGGCAAGTGAATTCCAACTTTAAGCAAATCCTACAAGAACTGCCTGATTTTCACAAAACTAATTATAAAGTGAATCTTTCAAAAGGCTTGTCATAGATTTATTTAACATAGACTTCATTAAAGTATTTTTTGCCCTAGCCGGTTTTGCTCAGTAGATAGAACGTCAGCCTGCGGACTGAAGGGTCCCAGGTTCGATTCTGGTCAAGGGCACATGCCCAGGTTGCAGGCTTGATCCCAAGTAGGGGGCATGCAGGAGGCAGCCAATCAATGATTCTCTCATCATTAATGTTTCTATTTCTCTCCCTCTCCCCTCCTCTCTGAAATCAATAAAAATATTTTTTTAAATAAAAATAAAGTATTTTTTAAATCCTCTTCAAGGAACTTTGTTTTGAAATCACTCAAAACACCTGTTGTTTAACAATGTACACCAAGACTAGGCAGAGAATACATGAAACACCCATAATGTAAGAAACTGCCATACTCTTCCACATTTCTCAAAACTCTTCTTAAAAATAAGGTTAGCGCCATAATACAGTAGAAATATAACTTACACTATCACACTATTTTGGATACATTAATGTACTCTCAGATAAATGCCTGTCTCATTTCAACCAAAATAGCAAAAACAAAACCAAACAAAAAATAAGCCTCCAAGTATATATTTTCATTTTAAAATTATAGAGATACATACTGTTGTATTAGCATATTATGTACAAAATAACACAAAAAATTAAAAATTAAAAAATAAGATTAAAATTAAATAAGGAAAAATTGGTAGTATTTTCTTCCTGCACCCTAGTACTGTTTTAAAATATATTTTATTGATTTTTTACAGAGAGGAAGGGAGAGGGATAGAGAGTTAGAAACATCGATCAGCTGCCTCCTGTACACTCCCTACTGGGGATGTGCCCGCAACCAAGGTACATGCCCTTGACCGGAATCGAACCTGGGACCCTTCAGTCCGCAGGCTGACGCTCTATCCACTGAGCCAAACCGGTCAGGGCCCTAGTACTGTTTTATACACAACCCACCTTGGAAAGCATAACTTCAGAGCATCCTGACATTGTAAGGCTTATGGCTTATTCCAATGACACTATAAAAATTACTTCAAGATCACCACGCTGCATCAATATACTGGGCTCAAGTTAACCACTTGAAGACATTAACTACAGCCTGTCCCAATTCCACAACGTCCACCCAATATAAAAGCAAGACTCTAGATAACCTAACCACAGTCCCCTAACTGTTACAAGGTCCACTCTATTTTCAAGTCATTTTTATCACTAAGTTCCTTAAATAAAAAATGTCTGGCCATATGAGACTTCTCCCTAGTAAGGATTATTCCTCTTATAGACTATAACAACAGTCAAGGCCTACAGAAGTTTCGTTTTCAAAATCTATCACACTACTTTACAACTCAAAAACCCATAAAATAAGCAGGGCAGGAATTATGCCCATTATAAGATGAGCAAACTTAGGCTCAAGAGTTAGTTAAAACAAGTGGTCTAGACCGCACAGTTAATAGTGTATTTCATCAGGTCTATGAAGCCAACAGTAACAATACTTACGTACACTTTATGAAATACCAGCACCAATTAAATTATGCCCCAGTGCTTTCTTATCACATTAAGTGAAGTTGTATCCCAAGTTAGGAATTGTTCAAGTGTGAAAATATGTCACATGAATGAAATTAGGAAAGTACAAAGATAAAGACTTTGAAAAATAGCAAAGTTATATAACATTTCTTTTTACTTTAAAATACCATCCATACCTCCAATAGCATCAATTTCATCAAAGAAGATGAGGCAGGCTTTTTTTGTTCTGGCCATTTCAAAGAGCTCTCGAACCATTCGCGCCCCCTAATGGGAAAAATAATTTGTTAATTTAGAGTTAATTTTTAAATCTTCAAGAATATAATAAAAAGTTATACAATATTGCTGAAAGTATCCTCAACTATTATTATCCCAGGCTTTTTCCAAAAAACAACAACTGAAGTTTGTTACCTATTCCATCAACCATCAAATTAACCTTATTCATGTTAAATTAATCTTATTAGCCTTAAGTAATTTTATGCCTAGTAAATAGCCAATAGCTGTAAGACCTGAAGAGGTCAAATTAATTAATAAAGCCACCATTTCAATCAGTAACACCCGAGGAAATAAAAGCATTTGACTTATCACTTGGCATTTCTGATCACTGAATTTGATTTGTAAGTGTTGCTCAGACACTAAACGTACTGCATAGCTCAATTCATGCAGTTCCTTTTCTAATTCTTACTGTAAGTATTCTAATCATTAACACTTCAGATACAATATATATACAGCCCTAGACTTACTCTCTAATGAAAAAATCTGTGTGTGTGAGAGAGAGAATGTGTTGTGAGTATAGATAGATGCTCCATGTTCTTTCTTTCTCAGTAGACCATAAAAGGTTGGCCCGAAAGCAAAAGCACACTTCTGAATGCATTCACCAGGCATTTCTGGGGTATTTCTCTTACCAAATTTGTAGAAAAAGTCATATTTCTGAGGAGGATGCATGGTAATTAAAAATGTTAAACAGGCCCTAGCTGCTTTGGCTCAGTGGATAGAACATCAGCCTGCGGACTGAAGGGTCCCAGGTTCGATTCCAGTCAAGGGCACATGCCTTGGTTGCGGGCTCGATCCCCAGTATGGGGTATGCTGGAGGCAGCCGATCAATGATTCTCTTTCATTGATGTTTCTATCTCTCCCTCTCTCTTCCTCTCTGAAATTAATAAAATAAATAAATAAAAATAAAAATGTTAAGCAGTTGTTTATTTCCAAATGACCACAAGGGAAAGCTGGTGGCTTTTACATCTACTAATTACAATCCATCAATCAAGAAATTTCAGGTCTTAATCTTTCTATGTGAAACTGCCATTTAAATTTCATCCCTGCTTTATAAATTTTTCACAGAGCTACAAATTCTTTGATTATGATCAATTTACTTTACCTCACCGACATATTTCTGCACAAGTTCAGATCCAATAACTCGAATGAAGCAAGCATCAGTCCTGTTAGCAACTGCCCGAGCACAGAGTGTCTTGCCTGTACCCGGTGGACCAAAGAGCAGCACGCCCTTGGGAGGCTCAATGCCAAGGTTAACAAACCTCTCTGGCTGTGATGGAGACACAATATTTATAATTATCACTCACTTCCGTATAATAAAAATAAGACTACTTCTACATCAATATATTTAAACCAAAACTATTAAGTCCATAATCTATATACTTGACCTAATAAGAACTTTACTTATTCTAAAATATAAGATATAAACTAGACTCATATCTATAATAATAAAAGGGTAATATGCTAATTGGACCAGACGTCATTCCAGACATCCTTCGGACAAAGCTGGGGCTGAGAGGGAAGCTCGGGTCCCGGGTGCCTGCCGGGGGCCAGAGGAAAGCCCGGGTCCCGGGTGCTGGAGGGAAGCTGGTGCTGGCAGCCGGGGGAAGGAAGGCCTACTCTTGCATGAATTTCGTGCATCGGGCCTCTAGTAGATACATAAGGCTGAATGGCTTTTAAAGGCATTTCTACTATCCAGGCTTAACAATTCTTTTTTTCTAATTTTAAAATAATTGCAGTGTTTAAAGAACAAAAGTAGCCCTAATCGGTTTGGCTCAGTGGATAAAGCATCAGCCTGCGGACTCAAGGGTCCCAGGTTCAAGTCCGGTCAAGGGCATGTACCTTGGTTACGGGCACATCCCCAGTAGGGAGTATGCAGGAGGCAGTTGATGGATGTTTCTAACTCTCTATCCCTCTCCCTTCCTCTCTGTAAAAAAATCAATAAAATATATTTTTAAAAAATAAAAATCATCATTCTCCCCTTTTAAAAAAAAATAAAAATAAATAAATAACAAAAGTATTTTCTGGTATTTTATATACTAGTCTTCCATTATCATCCCAAGTTTACTTCAATTCCATTTAAGCTCTTTTCTTCTTGACATCATTCAAGCACACAGTTTCTTCTACAATAAACTATAACATATTTAACAAACTGCTAAAGGTTATACGTCAACCTCCTGTGTCACTAAAAGTAGAAAATCTTTCTCTTTTTTTAATTGGCTTGACCACTCAATCCTTTTGCTTTCTCTTCTGGAACTTACCTATTCTCCACACCTTTACCCTCTATCCTCTATCCCCTCAAAAATTTCCATTAAGGATATTATAAAATACAAAAAGCTACCTAATAAATAGGCAATTTTAGTGCACAGCGTACAATAGGCTATCATATCTTTATACAAAGAAATTTAAAATGCAACACTCAACCACTTACATGAAGTAGAGGGGTTTCAACTACTTCTCGAAGTTTCTCAATCTGTTCCTTACAGCCACCCACATCACTGTATGTGACATCAGGTTTTTCCTCTACCTAAGAGAGGGAAGAAAATGCACAACATATAGCCACAGATTTCTGAATACTAGTCCAAAAGTCCTATCTAGTAGAGTAGACCCAATACCCTAAAGAAAAATCAAATTTATACCAAGTAATAATTTTTTTAAATGGAATATATTGCCCAGTGCACTAGAACCACTTGCTATATTACTTATGATATTGAGAGATAAACTAGCAAAAACTAATAAAGACTTTCTCAACTGAAAAGTGGTTTAGAAAATTTGGGCAAATCAATACATACCCACATATTAACAATAAATATCAGTTAAAGTTTCAAACTTTCTTGAGATGGATGCAGTTGTATTCTAAGTCATGCCATTTCTTTTTCCCCATAGTTTCTTACCTGCATCATGGTAACTGTTGGGTCAATCTTAGGAGGCAGTGGAATGTGAATTTGATACTTATTTCTGTCCACACTAAAAAGGTAAAAAAGATACTAAGATATTCAAAAAACTTTCTAAGTGAATTATGTATTCTGTAAACATGAATTACATTAACTCGATCCTTATAACTATCCTCCACTTACACCATGTTACCTTAAATAGGCTGGCAAACTCAACTCTCAAATTCTGCATTTACTTTATGACATTTGAAGTCATTCAGTAAAAGCCATAGTGGGGGTGGGGGGAAAGAGGAAGGTGGGAGGTCAGGAAGTGGATGCAGAACAAAGGATGTTCAAACGGAAGTACTCTGCTAGATCATCCCTTGGTATTCCATGGCAACCAGTACATTCATTCAAAAGAAAGCCACGGATGTGAATGTGACATGGTATCTTTAATGAAAAATGAGTATTTATTATATATAGTAATCTTACCCAACTCTCATCCCTTCTTCAATGTCAGTAGGTGCTACCTGATCACTGAGGTCCACCACAAACTTGGCAAACTGCTTCACGTTGATAATGTACTTTGGGTCCTCCGAATCAGCATTGATTATCTTTGTACATCTAACACAGCAAAAGACTCGATTAGAGTAAGGAACCGAAACCACTAATAACGAATTCAAGTAACTAGATTCTCCCCTGAGCATGCAGCACACTAATGAGCAGGTGTAAACTAGAACTACAGAAACTGGGCCACTGGTAAAAGATCCTTTTCTATAGAATATGCTTAATTCCAAGGGCCCACACAAATTAAGCCAAGCCATAACATTTTTAAAAGATACATACCTCTGGAAATTTAACCCAAATATTTCATCATCAGGAAGTTCTCTGATTTCTTGACTTTCATAACTCTATTACTTTATTAGTGATACTTCTCTATGTCTTAAGTCAGCAATTTTCAACTGGCGTGCCACAAGAATTTTTAAAACATGCAGTACCCGACTATTTAGTCAGAGGCACTGACCTTTTTTCCCTTAGATTGTCAAATAAAAAAATGCCAACAGCCAACACAACAAAAGCCATCCAGTTGAATGAATAAAAAGTATACCTTTTTTTGTCCAATCAGCAAATACAGTTTTTGGTGTGCCACAGAATTTTAGTAATTAGTTTGTGTGCCATGAGATGAAAATGGTTGAAAACCGCTGTCTTAAGTTACTTTCCTTTTTATTTTCCCTATCAGAAGACAGTCATCTTGTCTTACACTAAGTAATAAATGTTTTTCCATTCTTTCCTGAGTTTATACAACGATTTTTATTGTTGTTGCAGTTTTTAACTTAAATGTATTTTTTTTAGGTGTGACACATGAAGGCAAATTTATAATTATGTGTACATTATATAGAAAGTACTCTACTGCCTTTCCTCTTCTATATTATTTGTGTACTGAAAAAAAAACAAAAGACAGAACTCATGTTAGAGAGAACTCATGTCATAATCTGTAACAACAAATACAGGGAAATGCAAGTCTCTGGAGTATGCATACAGGTAGCACGAACAGTAAGGTAAAGATGTTTTGTCCTTGAAGCATTAACTGTGTGACAAAACTGTTTCCTGTTACTAGCCAAGGTCTACCAGGGAGGTAGAATTACATATATAAAAGTATTTTATCACTACTTTATCTGACAGACCATGCCAACACTGTATGCACAGATACGGATTTTTTAATCCACAGCTGAAAAGGTATAGACCAGGGGTGGGCAAACTTTTTGACTCGAGGGCCACAATGGGTTCTTAAACTGGACCGGAGGGCTGGAACAAAAGCATGGATGGAGTGTTTGTGTGAACTAATATAAATTCAAAGTAAACATCATTACATAAAAGGGTACGGTCTTTTTTTTTTTTAGTTTTATTCATTTCAAACGGGCCGGATCCGGCCCGTGGGCCGTAGTTTGCCCACGGCTGGTATAGACTATACAGGGACCTCAACTTCCAGAATGGTGAGGTAAGAACCTTTGAAAGTATGCTCCTCCTTGAACGTTAAGTGAATGCTGGCAAAAATAGTTAAAAAAAAAAAAAAAAAAAAAGCAAGAACGATTAGCATATTAGAAGAGCAATCCTAGAGGTCCAATATTCAAATGACAAAAGTCCAAAATAGAGGACTTCTATTATTTGGATATTAGAAAATGGAAAGAAGGAAATTATTCAAATAATTTCAAGGAAATGTGCCATCCTGAAGGCCATGAGAGCCCAGCATCGTGGGTGTAAATGCACCAACATCGAGGCACATCATCATGACATTTCAGAACAAGTGACAACAAGAGAAGACCCTACAATTTTCAAAGGAAAAACAGGTCACATATACTGAACTGAGAATCAGAATGGCTTGAGACTAACACTACAGATGGAGGACAATGAAACGATGCCTTCAGATTTCTGAAGGAGAAAAAGCTTTATACCAGCCAAGACATTTACAGACATGTACGGTCTCAAAATATTACCTCCTAAATGACCCTCTTTCATGAAGCTACCAGAGAATATGGCCCATCTAATGAGGGTAAGAGTAAACCAAAAAGAGCTGGTACACAAACAATAGGAGAGAGGCAAAGGGAGCCTCCAGAGTAAGAAATGACAGGATTGTGAGTCAACAGGCGTAAAGGGCAACTGGTCCAACTGAAGCAGGTCAGAAAGTGCTGGGGAAGATCAACCTGAGAGACGCAGCAGTGCACCTGAGCTATACATGAGGGAAAACCGGATGGAGATGGACCTACTGCATCTGAAGAGCAGTGTAGACAATCAGGAGAAATTGAGGGGTTTAGTGATATACATACAAATTATGACAAGTAAAAAAAAAGTGGTCCAAGAAAGGAAAAGTAATCACAATTTACTTCCTGGCTCTTTATGAATAGGGTTTATTTAGCCATGATTATGCTGAATACTGATCTAACCTAAATTTTAATATAACTACATTAGGAGGATGTTGGGACAGGAAGCCATACAGCAGGATGAAGAGGACCAAACTACTTTCGGTATTTGTTATGTCTGAGAAAGGGACAGTGGGACAGCGAAGATGGAAGGGAAGATTCACATTTGCCCTGCATCTTTCTGTATCACTTTGAATCTTTTATATGATTATGGCTTCACCTATTTCTTGAATAATTGTTTAAGGTATACACTTTTAACCCCAGATACTTTTGTAGAAAGCTTTATTTACTTGGAATTTAGAATGAACATTATACCTGAGACTCAAATAAATTTCCACAGGACATACCTCGCAACCTGCAAAGGCTGTTCACTCTGGAGTGTTTGCTTATCTGCAGCCAAATCCCAGAGTGCTGGTGGGGCCAGGCCAGTGTCAGACTCTTTAATACCTACATAAAGAGATTATAAAATTCACTAAAATGTAAGCATCACTAAAGCAAACTTTCTCAACCTCTGCACTAATGACATTTTGAACTAAATAATTTGTTGCGGAGGGTGTCCTGTGCATTATAGGATGGTTAGCAACATCCCTGACACTAGCCACTAGATGCCACTGGCACCGTCTCCCCCTCAAGCCCTGAGAATCAAGACTATCTCCAGACACTACCAAATGCTCTGAGGGATGGAGGGGGCAAAATCACCCAGCTGAAAACTGCTGCCCTAAAATAGTCATAAGCCAAAACTTTAATAACATATTTGACATTTTTTGTGGTCAAATATTATAAAATGTCACCACTGAAATTCCCAAGAAAAGTTTCCAATCACTAGGCAATAGCCCACTTACTTCAAGGAGTACCATGTGAGATCATATTTTTATTCAATAAGAAACTTTAACTGGTTTTAAGAGTTTATTAAAGCCCTAGCCGGTTTGGCTCAGTGATAGAGCATTGGTCTATGGACGGAAGGGTCCCGGGTTCGATTCCGGTCAAGGGCACATGCCCAGATTTCAGGCTCAATACCCAACGAGGGGCGTGCAGGAGGCAGCCAATCAATGATTCTCCCTCATCATTGATGTTTCTACCTCTCCCTTCCTCTGAAATCAATATAAAAATTGTTTGTAAAAGGAAGTAAAAGAGCTTATTAAATGAGATCAAATTTCTTAAAAGATAGGGATGATAATTTTTTAAAATCTGTAATTCATGAAAGAGCAACATATATATTTTAAATTCTTTGATATGATTAATACATTACATTTAGAGAGAGGAAACATAAATTAAATTATACCAGTGAGCTCATTAATTTTCTTGAGAAGTTGTTGAATGTCATCTTCAACCTGCTTGATCTGCCTAGAGTAAGTGCTCTGACCCTAGGAGATAAAGTTCAGTTTAATTGGAGTATCAAGAAATCAACAATTTATTAAACTACAAAAACACTTAACAGTTCATACATTTCACGTACAGTAAATATTTGTGTAAATTGTTTCAAATATCTTTCTACAGAGTTCCACATTTTAATTACAAACAGTATAAAAATAATGTTTAAACTTAGACACACTGAATATTTACACTCTGATTTATTCTAGATAGAATCTGTAAAAAGGTGACTTTATTTCAGTAAAGATTACTATAAACTTCTAGATATTCTCTTCTAATTATTTTGGAAGAGCAATACCAACAATAGTTCTTATTTCAACATAAAACATCTATATTTTGCAGACACTGAAAGGACTTACATAAGTTTTCAGCAAGGCGATATCACCCTCATCCAAAGCTGGAAAAAAGAAAGAAAACACATAAGATTCAAACAAAAGGAATTAGAGCTAACAATTCTTCTCTGTTCAAATCCAAAGCTCATTAGTTGAGTGAGAAAAAATGTGCAAAGTTGTAATGATCTAACTACAACCTTCAAATAGTTGCTGGAATGCTGGATAACTGGGTGAAGGTGGATTTAAAAGAATACACAGCCTGGCTGCTGGCGAGTCTCAAAGAGATGTGATCCATTAAGAACAGGCAGCCCAAAGAACAGCTTGAGAATCAAAACAACCTGACACTAGTCCCAACAAAGTCAAGCATTTGCTAAGTAACCTTGGAAAAATCATTTAATCTCTGAGCACCAGTTTTCTCATCTGAAAAATAGCGACAATGGTCCTTTCCACCACGAGAAGACAGAAGATGCCTGTCTGCAACCTGGAAGAGGGCTCTCACCAGAACCCACTTATGCTGACATCCTGACCTCAGACGTCCAGCCTCCAGAACCAATCAGACCACCAGATACCTGCATCCAAGAAAGGACCTTCACCATGACGCCACGCCCCCCCCGCCCCCCGCAGAGTTCATCTTGCACAACAAAGTTAAATCCAAAATTACATAACTTATAGCAAAGCACATAAAAAGTGGCTTTACCCCTTGGCCAGGTAATTCAGTTGGTTAGAGTGTGTGTTCTCCTGATATGCCAGGTTGCAGGTTCGATCCCAGGTCAGGGCACATATAGTATAAGAAACAATCAACGGCCTTAGCTGGTTTGGCTCAGTGGATAGAGCGTCGGCCTGCGGACTGAAGGGTCCCAGGTTCGATTGCAGTCAGAAACACATGCCTGGGTTGTGGGCTTGATCCCCAGTATAGGGGGCATGCAGGAGGCAGCCGATTAGTGATTCTCTCTCATCACTGATGTTTGTTTGTTTCTCTCTCTCTCTCTTTCTCCCCCCCCCCATCTTCCTCTCTGAAATCAATAAAAATATATATTAAAAAAATCAATGAATGCATAAAGAAGTGAAACAACAAATCGATGTTCTCTCTCAAAAAAATACATAAATAATGAAAAATAGAGATAACAATTTATCCTCACAGTGTTGCTATAAGATTACATAAAATATGAAGAGCATAAAATACTATACACACGTTAGCCACTAACTGTATCCAAGGGGTAAATTTATTACCTCGGTGACAGAATATCACACCCAGAGAAGTACACAGAAGGAATGTTAAATCTCTGTAACTAAGTTTTCCATTAGGTGACTGAGTACCTCTGAGGTTTACAGTGGCCTAAAATATTTTCAAGGGAAAGAGGAGAATATGAGATGAACCTAGAGAGGGAATGCTCTTTCTTTGAGGAGAGTTTGGAAACAGGGAAGAAGGGCACTAGGAGAGGCTGAAGTTATTTAGAGAGGGAAGAATTAGAGAAAAGAGGAAAAAACACCTTAAGAATGCTTTAAAATAGTCTATAAGGAACAAAAAACAGCATAAAGATGAGACTACATAAGGGCCTATGGGGAAATTGTGTATGAAAATGGTGTGCATGTCTCATGCACTGTGTGTAAAAGCGTACAGTCTCCAGGAGACTAATTTGGCCGTTTCTATCAAAATTACAACTCCATTTCTAAAATGTGTCCTACAGCTTGTGTTTGTGCATGTAGTAAAAGTTACATGAACAAGGTTACTCACTGCTCTATAACGGCCAACAGACTGGGAGAAAAATGTCCATGAATAATGATTAATTTTATACATTACACCCCCAAAACTGGAATACTATGCAGATGCAGAGAGACATAACACTGACTCCATATAATATGAACTTATTTCGTACTAGCTGGTTTGGCTCACTGGATAGAGTGTCGTCCTTCGAACTGAAGGGTCCCAGGTTCGATTCCGGCCAAGGCCATGTACCTTGGTTGGGGGCACATCCCCAGTAGGGGGAGTGCAGGAGGCAGCTGATCGATGTGTCTCTCATCGATGTTTCTGACTCTCTATCCCTCTCCCTTCCTCTCTGTAAAAAATCAATAAAATATATTTTAAAAAAATATGAACTTATTTCTAATACATATTAAAACTGAAAAGCAAGATGTACAGCATGCTGCATTTATGTAAAAAATAAAATACATGAGCAAAATTGCTAGCATATGCACAGAAAATGTCTATTTGCTTCTGTGTAAAAGGGGTGGCTGGGGCCAGGGCTGAGACAATTGTCAATATATCTTTTTTTCTCCCTTTTGAGTAAAGGTATCATCAAGTTAAAGGAATTTTTTTTTTTTAAGAAAATTATGTTTCAGGACCCTGGCTCTGCGGTAGGCAGTTAGACAAACATGAGCAGAGCAAGGGTGATGGGTCAGGTACAGAAATTCACCAGGGCAGAAAGCCCTGGGTGCCTAACAGAGGACAACTGTAGGGTAGGACCGTGCCCCCAGTGTGACCTTTCCTCCCCTTGCATATCCCTGGTCAAGCGTTTGGACCCCCTGACCTTTCCTCCCGGGAGCGCCCAGGCCCAAAAAGGCAACAAAACCAGACCAGGCACC